TCCTTAGGTATCTAAGAAATACTAAGGATGGATTCCTCAAGAATAAGGAAGAATTAGAGTAATGTAATGGAAGCGTAAATGTATTAGATTATGAATCTAATCCATCATAGAATATCTCTTCATTATGAATGAAGTGATAATGAGATATCTCTTTATTATGACTAAAGAGATATTTGGGTGGAAACGTTAAAAGTAAATGACTTTAATGTGTTCCATCATGTATGCAAAATATATTGCCATATAGAAGCTTACAACATTGTTGTTTGGATAGGAAAGTTCATTCATGAACTCTCCATTCGGTTCCAACCAGAAAGTGTATGACACTAATGGGGCGATAGCTCAAGCCAGGGAATCAAGGTCGAATCAAGGTCCGAACTCAAATGAGAGACTGAACCACATGATTGAGAATCATGTATAATGGTGACGTCGTTATTCTCAAGGTTGCTTCTATGGATAACATATAGATATCCATTGTTTAGGCCTACTACTCAGCCATTTATGAAATGAATTACAGAAAAGGTATCATCAATGATGACTAAGCTGATTGGCTCTAGTGCAAGTGGGAGATTGTTGGAAATGTGCCCTAAAACCAATCATATGATGATACTTTACGGACATTTCAAACTAATGTAGTTTAAATGTAAAGGGCAAATATTATTGTTTGAGCCGTCTCATATAAATGTTATATGCTTAAACGATAAGTCCAAGGAATATGTGATTGGAAGAATGCGATCTAAAGAAGTTAGATTCATGAGACCATTCTTTCGTTGACACATCCTAAACGTTCCTGATCATAGGATTGTCAATTGGGCATTAACAGTCCGTTAAGATCAGTACGTGCTATGTCTTCTCTCAGGGAGAGTGACTAGTCTCGAGTCATTGGTGTGTGTGACATCAAGACAAGTACGTAGGTGCTCAATAGAGAATGAGTTCACTGAACACGATCAACGAAGAGTTCTCATATTCATGTCACATGAGAACTCATGGTTGGGATAATGCAAATTAGTCTTTTGACCTGAGGCATCACAGTTGTCTTGTGATTAGGTCCTTAATCTTTGATTATGTCAAAGTCACTCCATCAGGAGGGTGTCCAAGGCATCGTTGGGGTTATGCCACTTAGCCATGGAGGCAAGTGAATGCGCAACAAGGGATCTCTAACCTTCAAACTGTTTGAGGGAGAATACTCTATGATATGATTAAGAATCTTTGGCCAAAGTATGAATGAGATTTAGGAATGTGTTCCAAATCACATTCAAGGTAATCATATAAGCACAAGACTCACATTGGATAGTAGACATGAATAAACTATCAAACCAAACAATGTGGTCAAGAGTATTGTATTAGAGAAAGACCGTATTGCATTTGTAATCCTAAAACTGAATAGGTTCTCCACCTCTTCTGATTAGCTTGGGTAACCATGACATGCTGCTAGGCGTCAACCATGGTTTGTGGAAGCCCTAAAAGTGTATTATCATTAACGGGAGAATTGAAAGTAAGTTTCAATTCACAATCGATTTGAAAGAGTTTGAATCGCCCACTGCCTCGCTAAAAGGAACCTAATGGATCGTACACCGTGTAAGGTAGAGATTGAAGATTCAACGGAGATAAGTAAGAATAATTAAATGGTTTAATTATTTATGGCAAGGATTAATTAATATGTTAATTAATCAAACGAATAAGTTCGTTAAAGACCTCGAGATAGTTTTGGACCTTAAGGCCCAATGGGCTTCGAACGTCAAGTCCATTGACTTAAGTTGTATGACAACTTAATGAATAATGATTCACAAAGGCCAAAATAGCCCAATAAATCCCCTTAGGCCGGCCATTTAGAGGAGGGTAGTGAACTTGGCTTAATTGCAAGCTTGCCACTCCATTGTGAGGTGGTATAAAGACATCTTTATAGCCATTTCATCCTTAGGGTTTTCTAAGGAGTAAGGATGAGAACACAAACTCTCTTTTCTCTCTAGAAATGGCCGGCCACCTTGAGGAAAACATCTAGCAATCTTACTTCCTCAAGGTCACTCATTTCTTCTACAATATACCTTGGTGTGGAGACTTAGAGGTTCTCAATTTTGGGAACTTGGAGAAACCTTTTCATCCATCCAAATCCATGGATCTAAGATGCAAGGAATGAAGGCCCTCTCTTTGGGTGATTAGCCTTTGCTTATGCAAAGAGGAATCTACAAAGGTATTGATTTCTCAACTCACTTTGTTTTTGAGTTGAGTCTTGGTTCACCTATCTACTAGGCTTTGAATTTCATGGGTAAATGTTTTGTTTTAAGTGCATACAAGCATGATTCCGCCTTTACTTGTTAATTGCATGCTATTGATGTTGCTTAAATGAACATGTTTTTCACAAATCTTCCTTCACAAACATGGTAAAAAAATTTGAAAGTAACCAAAACCAGTGCCAAAAAGGGATTCCCGCTACAATATTAAAAGTTTGAAAAATATCCAGCCACGGCTTCCCTTGCCGCAAGCTTCTTTCCTTAGAGTAGTTGCAGTGTGTAAAAGCTTCCTATGACCATAGGTAATTCAACCCCCTCAAGTAAATAGTTACTACTTTTGATTAACAGTAATTACCTATTGCATCTCCACCTATAAACTGAATATCTCAGGCAATTCGTATTAAAATATTAGTATTTGTTATTTTATAAAATAATAAAAGATTTTTTTTTTAATTTCGGATATGATTTTTAACCTGATCTCGTCACACCATGTGTCATTATCGAAAGTACAATTTTGTGGATAGATTTCAATAAGATTTTTATCTAATTCTGTCGCACCACGTGTCGTTACCTATTTAGAATTGTTGAAGATAGATTTCCGATAAGATTTTTAACCAATCTCGTTGCTCCACGTGTCATCATCTGTTTAGGATATTTGAGGATAGATTTCGATAAGATTTTTAATGAATCATGGCGTGTCACGTGACATTATAGAAAGTTTAAAGGAAATACATGGCAAGATACAAGTGTAACCTAATCATCTGTCTGCCACTTCAAAGGCTCCTCATATCAGCTAAGACTTGCCACCTGCACAATCGCTCCCTATAACGTGGAAATGATGCATCGGACAAACAATACCCGAATAAGCTGCAAAGTTCGATGGATGCGACACACAGCCTATATGTACCACAATCAATCGAACGAGGCCAAAGTTCGCTTGTGGTTTTGCTTCTTGCCTTTCGTTTAGAATTGTTGAAGATAGATTTCCGATAAGATTTTTAACTAATCTCGTTGCTCCACGTGTCATCATCTGTTTAGGATATTTGAGGATAGATTTCGATAAGATTTTTAATGAATCACGGCGTGTCACGTGACATTATAGAAAGTTTAAAGGAAATACATGGCAAGATACAAGTGTAACCTAATCATCTGTCTGCCACTTCAAAGGCTCCTCATATCAGCTAAGACTTGCCACCTGCACAATTGCTCCCTATAACGTGGAAATGATGCATCGGACAAACAATACCCGAATAAGCTGCAAAGTTCGATGGATGCGACACACAACCTATATGTACCACAATCAATCGAACGAGGCCAAAGTTCGCTTGTGTTTTTGCTTCTTGCCTTTCGTTCATCTTGACTACATTTTTTCTTGAGTAAGTAAATTTCTGTGCTTTTTTTAGGTTTATAAGTGTCAAATTATTAGAGAGACGGGCTAAAAGCGCACTTCCAACAACACTAATATATATTATCGGCAACTTGTTAATTATTACCTGCACAGTCCGACATGTGTGGGTTTTATCACAAAAGGGCTCGATATTAGTTAGGATGGAGTTATGATATTTAAACTCTTCTTTTCTTATAGATACAGTCGATGTGGGATATTTTAATAATAAGGTGCTGCTTTTTTTCTCTGGAACTTCTGTTATCGATGTGAAAGTTGTGTGATGTTGGTGGCAGACACATGAGCTTGCATTTGCGCAGAGTCCTATGGTTTTGGTGGCAGAGATTATGTCTTACGGTCAAGGAAGCATGGTCTTTGCTCCTTATGGAGATTTATCGAGATCGCTCAGAAACATTTGTATTTTCGAGCTGCTGAGCCCGAAACGTGTGCAGTCTTTCAGATCCGTAAGAGAAGAAGAGGTACGGAATCTTGTTGAGTCCACTGGCTCAACATTATCTTCGTCGTCACTCATCATTTTATAAAAAATATATGATTTGTGAAATAAATTGAGAGCATGTGTAAGAAATAAAATGGAAGACACCATAGTTGTTGGAGATGGCATTACTGGAACAGTGGTAGAAGTACCTTTTCTTGCTGGGCAGCACCCGCCATCGAAAAACTCAAGCTCTTGAGGTGCAATAACCTGTAGGTTACGAATTTGAAACGCAGTTCTCATCTGTGCTTGATTTTTGTTGTTCTTTACCAAAAGAAAATGTACTAGGGAAATTGATAACCCTTATGAAGCTTTTCATACAAAGTACAAAGGGAATAGATCAAATCAAACTTAATTCGTTTTGTTTTCTGTAAATGGCTGGCTTACTTTTACCGTTGTTTGGCTAGAGTCTTAAGATTTTCAGTGCCATAATCGAGGCTTTTTTCGTATGGAACACATCAAGTCCATCTTACGTTACCTGCCATATTCATATTGTTGTACTAATTGTGCTTCTATCCATAAAACATTTGGATTTAGTTGGAAGATTAGGGTAAAGCATGTGGAGTTTGGGATTTAGCATGTAGGGTTTCTGTAGGAAAGATAACTAGTTGGAAGCTTAACCGCGGTATCCGAAAAATACAAACTTGAGGAAAGATTGCTAAGATTGGCACAAATACATTACAAACACTATCTTTTACAAAATTCTCAGAGGAATTTATATATGTCTGTTCTCACATTATATAGGTCCACTGGAGAGCTATGTACATGGCTAGATGCAATGCAATTAGAAATTCAACAAGTGCTATTTTTTCTTCTTTTCGTCCCGTAGAGAAAAGATCGAAAAAAAACAATGCTAGTTGGCTCCTCTGCTCATAAGTCAGATGTGATGAAGAGATATTTGAACTGTTAATCATAAGAACAATCTTGTAGAATTTCAACTGCTTCTGCTCGTTTCTCATCGCTCACATGTGTCGGAAATTTTACGAGACATGTGATGCGGAGGTCGCCTCTCGCTGTTGGGTCTTTAAGCTTTGGCATTCCTTGTCCTGGAATGACCTTTACATAGCCATGATATATGATGTCGTCGAATGAAAGTGTCATTTTGTCTCCTCCTAGCAGAGGAACTGGAAATGAGCAGCCTCCCAGTGCATCTGCCAGAGGGATCTCAACAGCGATTTCCAAATCATCGCGGCCTGATCTCTTAAACAGATGGTGCCTCTTTTCATCTATCAAGAAGAGTATGTCAGCTGGGAGGTAACCTGGTTTCTCATCGCCTTTCGCTTCAAATGTAATCTTCGTTCCTTTCCTCCATCCCGGCTGCACGTTTATTTTCAGTGTTTCCTCTTCTTGGACAATGATACTGTAGATACACACACACATCACTATATATATACACATACACACATCATTATATACACACACACACAGAGACTGCTAATTACGTAAGAAATTGTCGGTAATGTTAGCGACAAACCCAGTATTGTTGATGACATCTCTTGTGATCTTGATCTTCTTTACGCACCCGTGACACAACTCTTCAAGTGTGAATGCAAGCTTCTTCTCAATCGGACGAGGTTTCTTTCTTGCAGTTGTCCGAGAGAAGACAATCGGGGTTGTGCTCCTCTTGCTCACACTTCTTGATAAAGACTCCGGTTGATCAGACGTGCCTGATTTACTGGCATTAGACGTTTGAGAGGTTGGCGATGGAGAGGCGGGTGATGGAGAAGCGGGAGCTGGAGAGGCAGGCGCTGGAGAGGCTGGTGCTGATGCTGTGGTGGGTGATGGAGAATGTATTTCAGTCTCAAATGGGTGCCTCCGGCTCATATTTCTTGATAGAAGGGAAGGAATTTCCATCTCTGAAGTGCTCCTTCGACCCATATTTCTCGAAACAGAAGCAGAAATTTCGGTCTCCATGGCATTCCTTCGACTCATATTTCTTGACAACGACGAGGGTGTCGGAGTGGTGCTCCGGCTTGCACTTCTTGAGAAGCTCCTCGGTGTAGGTGTCTTACATCTTCTACTCGAGGTCCTTGAAAGACTTCGGCGCAAGAAGTTATCATCAATACTTCGTTGATTATCGAAACCCCCTACCGGCGTTGTTGGGTAACTAATTGTAAAATTTTCGTCGTCCTGTTCCTCGGATCACAATCATTATGCAAATTAAGCATAGATTTACATCAGGAACAAGCTAGAAAATTTTTCAAGATCATGATACATGTAAATTTGATAGATAAATCACTAAACTGTCAATTAATAGATAAATTTATAAAGACAATCGTTGCAAATATGTAACACGTCATTACATTTAACAAACGTAATTCCTCGTTCGTAAAAGATGTGTTAATTGCATGATTAATGATTAGGGATTATGAATGTGTGCATGTTACCTTGGTGGTGTCATGGTTGTCTGCAAACTTTGAGTCTCCGTGCTTATGGTTGGGGGCCAATTTCATAACAAAGGATTTGTATCCTTTGCAGATATTCGATATTCCGAGCATGTTGTAGAGATCCGACGTCGACGCTCAATGTGGATGATCCCCCATGCAGGAGAGGGGGAGGAGGGAGGTAGATCGATCGGTATCGGAAGAGACTGGCTGGGGATCCAAAGATGAAGAAGCGTTTCCTTAGGAGCTTTTGTTGGGCAAAATATGAGTGTTGTTTCTTTGGTGAGATGGGGCAAAAGTGTGTGTGTTATTGTGACATGCATGAAGTAATGTCGTTTTTTATTATTTAAATTTACACTAAAACGCTTCTATTTTTAGGTTATTTCCGAGTAAACCTCACTATTTTCTGTACTTCCATCACCTCTCTTGTCACATCTCGGCCCAGGCCCCCATCACATCTCAGGCTCGACTCTACCGTAACACGATATTGTCCGTTTTGGGCCCCTACTACACCCTCAAGGTTTTGTTTCTGGGAACTCACACGAGAACTTCCCAAAAGGTCACCCCTTAGGGCCCTGACGTCCTCGTCGGCACACTTCCGACCATGGATTGGCTCTGATACCAAATTGTCACATCCCGACCCGAGACCCTACAGTAGCACGATATTGTCCGCTTTGGGCCCCTACCACACCCTCACGGTTTTGTTCTGGGAACTCACACGAGAACTTCCCAGAGGGTCACCCATCTTGGGAATGCTCTTGCCTGAACTCGCTTAACTTCGGAGTTCCAATGGAATTCGAAGCCAGGGAGTCCCCAAAATGCCTCATGCTAGGTAGAGATAGGAATATACATATAAGGCTTATAAGATCCATTCCCCTGGACGATGTGAGATGTTACATCTCTAGAGACCAATCATGTATCCTTCTTTATGAAAGGAGATCAACTGGTGATTTTACAACGACAGTCTATCTTTTTAGTGGACGGGAAGATTCATAGAGACATTTCAACTTATTTTTTGCCACTATCGTTGTGATTCACTAGCGTTCGTAATCAAACCTAGAATATATTGTATGAAATCGTCTCATTACAATATCATGTCAAATATATATATATATATATATATATGGATAGAGTATAATATAATTTGATTTAGTTACAAATCGATCGTTCATGTCAACTTTGTTAGGCACATGCGTATCACTGTTGGAAGTTTTCATGTAATTGTCATCAATAACTAATACACTGCATATTGTCAAATTCACATACTAACTTTATTCCAATTTCAATTAAAGTCCCTAATTAATATCTGAGTATTTGACAAAAATAAATAATATTTGAGTATTACTTTTCCACATATGTCAAAAAGGAAATATATTTGCTTACCAACCTTTTTTTAAGAAAATCGACATTATATTATGGCATAACGAATGAGAGTATGTTGGATGTAAACTGAAAATTAAACAAAGGAGAAAAAAATAAAGAATTAGACGAGTCAAACTGCACATAAGACTAGGTCATCGAACTACTCTTGTTGCCTTATTCTCTTAATCGCAAAACAATCAGAAGGAATCACTCAAAGCTATTAGAAAGGATTAACTCTTTAATAGAGCAACATTGCCCGTCCCCTCAAGCCCCATTCCAATTAAAATTAAGTATTAGATTCATCAAGCAGAAGATCACTCATCAAATAAGGAGGTTCCTCAAACTATGTGTTGAGAATACCACTTAAAACCCCGTAGCGTGGAAGTCAGAATGGCAATCATCGCCAAATTTGTCATTGAGTGGACAAATTGTGGAGGACGGGAAACATTGGCATTAGCGGTCACTGACGTTAGTTTTTCTCATGTCCATTGTCAGATAAATGAAGCAACTCACTCACCACTTCATTGATTTTCGTTAAATGAGTTTGAAAAAAAATATTGAATCAAATTCATCTAATGACAGTAAACAATGAGATGAAAAGCAATGCCACCACTTGAAGGACAATTTTGGACGGTTATGTTTATTTGTTTTATACACAGTAGTGACACACTTTGCACATGCATTTTTAAAACCAAGCAAATATGTAATTTGTCCTTGTGTCCTGCCCAGGGGGATCAAGTGGAATTATAATAATGTGTACGTTTTAAGTTCTGAGTTCTATGTTCTAAGTTGGAGTGCTCAATGGATAGATGCATGAGCCGTTGATGCTCAATATATATTATATATAGGCGTATTGTATCACTACCTGTTTTACAAAATTTGTGACACGTTTTGTGAGGCTCGCTTCATAATGTATTTTACTGCTTTGAATCGTCTTTTTTTTAAAACATCATTCATAAATTATTGTTGTAAAAATTAGACAAATTCAAAACTATTAATATATTCATTTGTAGTGGAAAAAATTGACGATTATGGTTCGATAAAGAAACCTTAAACCCTTAATCCAACGATAATATGGTTTCAAATTTGAGTATTTTTGGTAGACATGATCTTTAAGGAAATACCTAAAAGATAGATGGTTCAGATCGTTGAAATACATTACGAAGTGCACTACAAGAAGGTGCGTCAAAAGTTGTGTAAAAAAAGTGGTGTCATGGATTAATCCCATTTGTGGAGCCAAAAATAATCCCAAAAAATCAGATGATGACGCTTGAACTTCTTTTCAAGAAAGACAAGATTGCCCTCATCAAATGTGTAGGGCTCTTAAATATTCCCTTCCTCAGCTCAGCACCCCTGAAGGTTCAAGTAGTTAACTACGACTAAATCCTGTCTTTCATACATTGCCAATTAAAGATCAACTTTATTCAGTAAGGAATCCCTATCACAATCAATCATGGATGTTCATCCGCATAGATATTATCTCATAATTAATATCTTGGGAATATCCTTTCCTCATTCATCAAACCGATGACATATCTTGGCCAATATATGTGTAGGGCAAAACCCTAACCTATGGCCGACCACTCCTATAAATACCTTCATCTCACCATATTTTGGGAAGCTTTTTGCTACAGATACCTAAACACTCACTCTATTCTACAAGGTTCTAAAAAACTCTAGGTGCTAGTCGGGCAGCGGGCTAGCGCCTAGCGCCTTGGCGACTAGTTGGGGTTTAGGCGGGTGCCTAGGCGGCCTAGGCAGATTTAGGTAAATTTCTTATATATCTTGTAAATAAGTGCATATTGACACTTATAAAAAATTATACTTGTATGAAATTCATGAATAAGATAATAAAAAAATGATAAAATGCAAAAAGAGTATCCAACAAGTCCAAAATTTAAAAACACATTAAGCATATATGCCATATAATCATAGTGAGGAGTGTTGTAGGATGACACATGTATAACAAGTTCACAATTTTAAACCACTTAGACTTGGATAGGATTTTTTATTTTATTTTTTAATTTCATTAAAAAAAAAAACCGCCTAGCACCGCCTAGCCCTGCCTAGGCGGCTGCCTAAAGCCCATCCGATTTTTCCCACCGATTTGCAAGAAAACACCTCGACTCACCATCGCTTAGCGCCTAGGCCCTTTTTTAGAACATTGCTATTCAGAGTTACTGACTTAAGCATCAGACCATTTGCCAAATCCCCCTCGTGGGCGTGAGGCTTTGGTCTTTGATCAAATATGTTGATTGTTTTGTAAGTACACATTCATCAAAACTGAAGGCGATGAGTTTTTGCTACCACACCGATATATTATATTAGAATGAGGATCCTCTCTGGATCCTCTTTGTGAGGATTCTGGGGATCCTCCAATCACGTTCGTTCATCGTATATCGTGCGGCCAGTTTTTATCTGGTTCTATTTATATTCAATTTTAAATTGAAAAAATTAGGTTCACATCCTGCTTTTTGTTACTCCATTGATTAAAATTCTATTCATTTTCAATTTTTGATCAAGGTCCTTGGGTATTAATAACATCATTAATTATTTGAATAATAAAATATTTTTATTTTTAAATATATTCCTTTAGTGTTAAAAATGTTACAATTAGTATATTTATATTTATGGCTAAATTTTTTATCATATATTTTTATTTTTAGTTTGTACCTATTTTTAATTTGCAAATATTTTTTAATTTGTACCAATTTTCTTTTCATTTTTAATTTGTACCCATATATTAGTTTCTTTTGTGCCCATATTTTTTAAAGTTTTATTTGTGTTTGTACCCATGTGTATACCGTTACGTGACATTGTATATTTAATCAATGATAGAAAAATTACATATGGTATATTTATGTTTTATGCCTAAACTTTGTATCATATATTTATATTTTTAGTTTGTACCCACTTTTTAATTTGCAACATTTTTTTTTAAATTTGTTGTATTTTCTTTTTAGTTTATTTTTGTACCCATGTATTAATTTCTTTTAGCGCCTATATTTTTTAAAAATTCATTTGTACTCATAATTTTCTAATCTTTTATCTTTACCCTAATTTATTTATAATGTACCCATTCTTCTTTATTAATGTACCACTTTGTTATATGTGAAATGTATCATTTTTTTATAAAATGTACCAATTTTTTTTTAACACTATGGATACATTCTTTTGCCATTTATTATTTCTTATTTTTACATAGTTTTTATCCATTTATTCAATCAAAATGTTTGAATTTTTTTATTGTAGCCGTTTCTAATAATAATATAATGAGCGATTTTAAATTTATAGGATTATAAATCTCATAAAATATCAAACAATTAATGTCAAAACTATAAAAATATAAATAGTAATAGTAATATAATGAGATGTACAAAGTCCATGGACTTTGATCAAACTTTGAATACTATTAAGGTTTTAATCAAAGAATGTTAAGGATTAGGAACCGCATCCAAAGTATCCCTACAAAAATTTATAATAATTTTTAACCACACAATATATGATGAATATATATAATTGGAAGGTCTCCGAAATCCTCACAAAGAGAACCTGAAGAAGATCCTTCATTATATAATAGGGCATTGCCACATGCAGCCGGCAGACTTTTTCTCTTTAAGCATTCTATCCTATTCTTATCCAAAGCCGGCAAAATTATTTCCCACGCGCTTGTATAGATTCGAGCATCAACATATTCCACTGAATTAAGTATCATTAATTTAAAAGATTATTCTTTTAATACAAACAATTTATAAGATTTAGAATATACAAATCCCCTATTAAAAACATATTTAATTTTTCTTTGCTAAGTGATGTAGACATATTCAGTTCTGACATAAAGTTTTAAGTTCGACTCATTTGAATAATGATGATATATAATATTTAAATAGAGTTTGATACTTAGTTACAGATTTTTCATTGTGTGGCTTAGTCAGATCACCTTGTCTTAGTATAGAATATGGTTGTATAGGAAATAACTCGATTTTTTAACTAAATAAGTAATTTTGTTATTAAAATTTGTTTGTTCTGAAACGAATTCTACACAAGTGTCGAAAGCCGATTATGTCATTCAAACTAAGAAAATAGAGGTGTTTTCTTGTCGCACGGTGAAAGACCATGTCCTTCTAAACCTGATAAGTTTGAACACGATAATAACTCATAGAGATATGCATGGCATTCTTTAATATGTTAATTTATAAACTGTTATCTCGCCTTTGAAGTCAATTAGTCGTTTGATTTGAGTAGACGTATTTATGGATGTGATTAAGAGCCCTTGGGACCTCGTTGTTTTTAGGGTAGCTTTGCAAGCTTGGCAATTGAAGCCATACACATGTTTTGAAATGTGTGTTCAATCATGCTCATCATCCTCGCGTGTGTGAGAGGGGTAGATCCGTCCAAGCTGCTTCCTTCAATACACATGTAATTATTTAAAACCACGTTGATTTCATTTTTTTTCTTTTCTTTTTCTAATTAATTCTAATTAGTTGTTTACTTTTAATAAATTTGTTTTTTATTATACAAGTTAGTATTATAAACTAGTCCATTTTTTGGAGAAACGGGGACGAACACACTATCGTAGCTAATTGGCAACCGTGGACTAATTGATATTATATATTTAAAGGCATATGTAATTAATGTTTTATCCTAGTTTTTATTAGTTTGGTTTTCTTTATTTCATTGTGAAGATGGTTATAACAAGAAGTTTCCTAGAAAAGGTAGCCAATCTGCCAATGTGTTTTTTTTTTTTTTGAGTAATGCTAGAGACTTTTATTAAAATTATATTTTGTAAATAACATAATATGATTGTTGATGATTGAATTTTTTTTTTTTTTTTTAGATAGCGGTTTTATTATAAAATTAAGAATCATTACAAATATCAAGGAGCACATTCGAGATAATATTTAATTCAAGGAAACTTTAACATAAAATAAAATGCCAACTTAGCCAATCTAATTGTCACCGTACTGGTGGATTGAGGGCGAGACATGCCCGAGAATAAGCAAAGAAACACATCCAGGTCTTGAAATCATCCACATCCAAACTCAAGAGATTTGAGATGGCACTCCAAAGCTAGATAAACTCCATTTTTTTATGAAAGCTTCTATGCACAAAGCCTTAATATAATGAACAACGACAACGAACCGACTAGTGTCCATTTTTACGAGTAACACCATCAACGAAGATACTGATTCCAACAAAGTGGATCCAGATGATTCGATATCACATAAATACAAAATTAAATACTCATAAAGAAAGACTCACAAATAACCTCACCAAAGAGACACTTATTGGCGAGATACTAAGACAAAAAATTGAGAAGCAATAGTCCATGAGCAGATAAAGGAGAAAGGCTAGAGAAAAAAATGGAGAGAGGGACTGCCAATGGCCTTGAGCCGGACCAAAGGGCTGGTGGCTATGGAATATGTGGATTTAAGGTTTTGTAAGAGGAATGAGGGCGAAGGAAAGATTGAATTATTACCTAAATGCTTGATTAACAAGCTTATTTTTTTATTGGTGACACATCGTATGGTCTACAAATGTAGTCTAAAAATGATCTCCCCAGCATATTTCCTTTTTTTTTTTTAATTAATAGTAGATGTGAGTGCTCAAGCGATATTAGTTAGCAATGACTTAACAAGGCATTAATCATTTGTCTAGTCCCCTCGACAATTATTTTCATAATATGAACCAACTATTACTTATGTTATCAATAAAAGATCATCCCCGCAAAATTTCATCGAAACTAGAATATGCTTCGTTATCTAACTATGACCTGAAGATATATAGACGATCACAATTTTTCGATTAACCATGAAATATTCACATTGATAGTTAAAACGCTAGATGATTTTTTATTTCAGTGAATTTTGTTAAAAGATTTATGAATGAAGACCTCAAAGACAAACACTTATGATGATGAGATTTAATTTGTAAAGCAAGCTCAAACGAGAAATTAGCACCATATTGAATTACCAGCTTATTAGGGCTTGATCGGAGACTCCATCTAAATTGTAAATAAAGGGTGAGGATCGAGGGACACATGTTTTGACACACATTTTGTAGGGTCTATTTTGTACTATATTTTAACGATCAAAATCATCTATTTTTAGTTTTCCCTCAAGTATCATGTTTATAAAAAAAATCACTCAAATTCCAAACCTTATGATCGTTAGACTAAATGATAGTCATTTTAATATTTCAATGCAAAACCGTTTGTCCATTTTCTTCACTCAAATTCCAAATCTTATGACTATTAGACTAAAGGATAGTCATCTTAGTATTATGATCTAGTGGTATTCTTCTTCACTTGTAAGTGAGAGGTCTTAGGTTTGAATTTCGTGGATGGCAAATTCGATACTAAATTAGGTTGCCTATTTGTGTGGCTTAAGTCGCACTCCACCTCTTCTTAATATAAAATATATCGTTGTACTTGAAGAAAAAAAAATGTCTTAATAGATTTAGATTTTTGTAAAGATAACCTATAAATGATCAATCGAAGTATGGACCATTCAGCGGAAGAGATCCTACAGAATAGATGTAAAAATGTGTATAAAAAATGAGTGTCCTCCAATTCTAAATCACAAATTAATAATTAATTAATACAATTACCGGATCTATAAGTCCAACACGTTCCGGTGACGTTCATGCACGTCATATTCTAATCTTGTCAACAAAAAGGGCCGTTTAGGCCACGCGCCTTTTGACGGTTACTGTTACACCAACCATCCCGGCAGCCAGAAGAAAAGAAACAGAGGAGGTTTGACTGACCAATCCTAAAGCTCATCTCTGAAACTCAGAGGAGGAGTGAAATATCAACCCAACTCAGAACTCGAACTCAGCACAGGAAAGTCAGTTCCTTTCTCTCTCTACAACTTCTCTCTCTCTCTGTCTCTCTCTCTACAACTAGATACAAACACAACCCGCAATCTGAAGTTTAGGAATTTAGAAATTTGAAAATTTAGAACAGACAGAGAAGAGATGATGAAACTTGAAGTTGGGTTTTGGTTGTTTGTCTCTCTACTTTCTCTCTCTACCTTATCTCCATCGACAGCAGCTGAAGCACCAGCACCATCTCCTCCCCCAAGAACAAATATAACAACAACAGCAGCATGCCCAGTGGATCTGAGCTATGTCCTAAGAATCCCCTTCAACTCCTCCACCTGCAAAAACTTCCAACCTCCTTCCAAAACCACACAAATGGAGTCGGAGGACCTCACCAAGATCCCCTGCTGCCAAACCCTTTTGTCCCTCTTCGGAATCTCCCTCGCCCAACACCTCAAAGAAACCTCCCTCTTCCAACTCCCCAACCTCCCCACCTCCATTTCCTGCCTCCAAAACTTCCAGTCCAAGCTCTCCTCCCTCTCCCTCTCTCCCAATCTTGTCTCCTACTGCTTTGACCCTCTCCAGTTTGTCATCTCCCCCAACATCTGCGCCAATATTCAGTCCACCAGTGATTGGGTCTCCAAGCTTGGCAACTCCACCGTCCTCGACTCCGCCTGCCGCCCTGACCTCTCCGATCTCTCCTCCTGCGGGGGCTGTGTCGACGCCGGCTTTGCCATTCAGAAGATGTTGCTTGCCGCCGATGGTAACTCTTCTCACACTGAAGACTGTTGGTACTTTACTATTCTTTATGCTGCTGGTATTGTCAATGAGTTTGGCCCTGAGAGCAATGGTGTTGTGAACTGTATATTTGGGTTGTCTTCCTCCAATGCGCGTTCGTCGAAAAAGAGCAATACTGCCCTTGTTTTCGGCCTCACTGGCGCTGGGGTTGCGGTGTTTGTCATGTCTAGTTTGTTGGGGTTGTACTTTTGGTATGATAGAAGGTGGAGGAACAAAAGGATTAGAGGTTCTCGAATGGAATCCGGTTTTGACTTGGATGAACGAGATGCCAGGATTAGAGTGAGACCAAACACCGGTTCAATTTGGTTTAAAATTCAGGACCTTGAGAAGGCTACTAATAACTTTTCACAGAAGAATTTTATCGGTCGTGGTGGGTTTGGTGTTGTTTACAAGGGTGTGTTGCAGGACGGGACTACGGTTGCTGTTAAGAAAGTTATAGAATCTGATTTTCAAGGGGATGCTGAATTTTGCAATGAGGTTGAGATTATTAGCAATTTGAAGCACCGGAATCTTGTCCCGCTTAGAGGGTGTTGTGTGGTCGAGGGGGAAGACAGTTACGAGGAGAAAGGAAGTCACAGATACCTTGTCTACGATTACATGCCGAATGGGAATCTAGATGACCATCTCTTTATTTCTCAGCCTAGTAGTCAGAGCGGAATTGAAAGGAGACCCTTGACTTGGCCTCAAAGAAAGAGCATAATCTTGGATGTAGCCAAGGGTTTAGCTTATCTTCACTATGGAGTGAAGCCTGCGATATATCACAGAGATATTAAGGCTACAAATATACTACTAGATGCCGATATGAGAGCGAGGGTGGCGGACTTTGGGCTTGTAAAACAGAGCATGGAAGGCCAGTCTCATCTCACTACTAGAGTGGCAGGGACTCATGGATACTTAGCCCCTGAATATGCTCTTTATGGACAGCTGACCGAGAAGAGCGATGTTTATAGCTTTGGAGTGGTTATTTTGGAGATTATGTGTGGGAGAAAGGCACTTGATTTGTCATCTTCGGGTTCCCCTCGTGCTTTTTTGATCACAGATTGGGCTTGGTCATTAGTGAAATCTGGAAAAGCTGAGCAAGCTTTAGACTTCTCGTTGGTTAGAGATGGGGATAATGCGAATTCGAATCCAAAGAGCATAATGGAGAGATATTTGCTGGTCGGCATTTTGTGTGCTCATGTAATGGTGGCTTTACGGCCTACCATTTTGGAAGCTCTGAAAATGCTGGAGGGAGATGTTGAGGTGCCACAGATTCCAGATAGGCCGATGCCTCTTGGTCATCATTCAAGTTATGGCAATGGCAACGGTAACACGTTCAGCATATCACCAGCTTTGAGCGGGCCAAAATTACACAGCGGAGACATGCTCAGGTAATCTAGAAAGATTTGCGATTCTTTAGTTTGTACATTGCCTCGAAGGATGTAAAGAATGAGAAGCATGTTCATGGAAGACCCTCCAGTCCATGAGTTCATTCAAGGTATGTGGTTGAGAATCTTGTAAATATGACATATAAGAACTCATAGACAAATTTAAAGGCTATACTACGCATCCGAGGTTAGGAATTGCGCCGGCTAGTGTAGGATCTTTGTTTTTATAAAGTTGCAACTTCTTGTGGTGTTATTATGTTCACCAAACTACATTGTTTGAGGATTGACATTATAAATAGCGCAATTGAAGACGTAGATAACAGTATAAGCAAACAGTATTGTTTGAATTGAACCTGCTACTTCAGAAGAACAGATTGACTCAAGAAGTTGGAGTTGAAATCATCATGAATTCAGAAGTTTTATGTGGCAATGAATCTAATGAGAAATCAAATCTTTGTTGAAGCTGTACTTTCATGTGTTGTTCCGTTCTATCTCATCGCGGTTTCCTTTCTTTTATGTGTTTCGTTCTCTCTCTTTCTCTCTCTCTCGTAACCAAGCTGCAATACATATATTTATCTTGTATTCGTTAACTGTTTAATTACTCGATTGAAGTAGCATCATTGATATCTATGCCCACAACAGGTTTAGCAGAGAGTGAAGCACTTCAGGGGCTCTGACCGTCTGAGTCCTTGGGAGATTCTTAAAGCTCGAAAAAAATTTCAGTATGGCAGTAACACGACCTAGTTTATCAAACGCAACCTAATTTATCAAGTGTAATAATATAAGAGGTTGGAATTTTTCAGTGGGCCATGTTCTCGACACACTCAACAATCTCTCTTACCGCTCTGACGTGTTTATCAGTTCAAGAGCGTATGTACATGGTTTTGGTGAAATTTTGATCTATATTTGTATAGTAATAGTAAGATAAATAGTAAATACCTATTATCTTGGAACTGTAGGGCCGGGTAATTTTGTTGTTTCGTTTCCTTGCATGTAATACGTTTTTGTGGGCAACTTGTAACCCAAGTGGTTAATGCTCAGTGACGGGCGTGCCGCTGCCACTCCCATCATATTTCCCCATTTCTGTAAAATGTAACTGGAAAATAGAGAGTGATTCAACATTTGGAACTTGTTTTAATGAATTGGATTTGGAGTAGGGCGGAGATTTAATGAATTGCAGGTTCAATGCATGTATTTTATTTATTTATAGCAGAAAATTATCATCAATAAAGTGCCAAAATACATATCTGGTTCAATGCATGTGTTACCAGTGCAGATTAAATTTCTACCTACAATAAATAAATAATAATAATTTTATGGTCAATACGAGATAAATGTTTGTCGATATTTACAATATTTCAAGTAATATTATTAATTGGATCATTCGAATTACAGTATAAATAAGCGCATGTTGACATTCAGAATTTTGTCAAATATTGTTAATTAAGTTCTTTTGGAAGGGATATAAGATAATACAACGACCATGTAGTCGAAGCTTGTAGTCGTCGCTCTTCTTTTGCTTTCTCATCCTCTTTGCTCAATGCTTCGGTAAAACTTCTTTCTCTTTGTGATTTTTGCACATCGTTTTTGTCTCGTTTACTAAAACACTTTCGTTTTCACGTGTTTTTTGGTGTGTGTGTGTGTGTGTCTAAATGTAGACATCAGAGCAAGGACTGAGTGAGGGTCCAAGTGGAGAATGTCCTGCTGGGTAAAGTCCGTGCAAAACCAAGGAAGACTGCATCCGACCATGCACCAAGTTTGGCCGTCCTCCAACAACTGTTGTCTGTCTTCCTTATCCAACCGGACAATTGGGCTGTTGTATTTGTGTCAAATAATTATGTAATTATCCCCCAATTAGCAACTTGTTTTGATACAAGTTGAAGATTAAATAAACATGCGTCTAGCTACTTCCAAGGTTTAATTTAAATTTTAACTATTCTAATTGTGTTTTGTTTCGTATTAAACATATAAGACGTTGTCTTGTATTCATCTGATGCCTAAGACAGTAATGATATCGCTTATTTAATTTTCTCATGTCTTTTCAATGTTGCTGTAGAACAATACTAGCCTTTCATCACACTCTAATGTGCACAACTCAATATTTTTAACCATTTTTATAGAGTTTTTGGAGTAAAATTTTTAATTAGTCCTATGCTATAACCTTAGTTTAGATTTAGTAAACGATTTAAAATTCGGTCAATTTTAGTTCTTGAATTTAACAAAGTGTAGTCAATGGTCCATTGCATCAACTTTGGTTTAAAATTATGTTAGTTTGACTATGTGATACACATACGGACCCATTGGCGGGCCAAGTATTGTGTTAGTTTCAAGTGAATGGTCATCAAGAATTTTCCGATGACTCTTGAGGTAACGACACAATTCAATTGAGTCGAAGAAGTGTAGTTAATTATGCATGTACATATTTGATAACTGCATTACTAGGACAAGAATCAAAGCTACATCAATCGAGTTAGTCTGCCCTTTCATCCATTGGATTGTTAAGGAGAAAAAAAATAGTATTTTTTCAATTCAATAAATAGCTTTTTATCAATTCAATCATGACCGCTCAATTTCTTGAATAAAAATTGGAATAATCAAACTACTTGGTAGTCTATTCTATTGAAGAAAAATTAACGTGACTAACTTGTAACCTTTTTTTTTTTGGTGTATATGATGTTGAATTGAGGTGTCATTATCCACCTCTATATATTAGCAAATCGGCACGCCCTCACCCTTGCCGTTTGATGACTCAATTTCACATCATATATTTTACCTTATTCTTAATATATTTTGGTAATTATTTTAGTAGAATTTTCATACCTTATTTTATATTTTCAATATAGGACATTCGACTTACTCTGGAGCAAAACGTGATCAAACAGATAAATTTTGGAGTGATTCAAATTGGAAGACAATCGTGTGTCCCTTGGCGTGTTCGTGTCAACATTTGAGATTTTTCTACCAAATTTTCTGGCGATAGAATAAAAAAGTAGTGCGCGGTTATTTTATGTCCTCTTCTTCTCTGTGCGATATTGAGAGAGGAAATTGGTCAAGCATAGAGACTTTCAAACTTTTATATTCAAGGTGTTTTCGATCTTTTATTGTTTCAATAAAGAACTTTGTGATTTTTATTATGAATATGTGTAATTAATTCCCTTTTTGCTAGGGGTTGAGGCCACGAGGCTTAGTAAGAATATGTAGTTTTTTTTCAAGTTGCTTGTGATAATATGCACGCAGGTTTTTGAAAATCACTGGTTTAAACTATCTAAATGTCTTGATGATTCGCAACCATTAGGATGTTTAGAAAAGTAATTTGATGCAATTTTGGTCGAAGGTCAGTCCCTGAAATTGACGAAGGCTTTTTGTGGCTAATATGTGCAAGTTCACTTAGAAAGAATATCACGTCTTAAGGGTTGCATGGTTTTTCAAAAGGTTTCACAAAACTTAATGATCATGCATTTTTAGATTTGATCTGAATATCACAGACGGATTGCATGTTTGATAGACGCTCTATTTTGGGAGTCCAAGTAGGCATGTTTTAGGAAAACCTAACCTTCGAAATATGCATATATAGGTCATAAGTAATTAGGAGAACTATATAAGATTGTTAGGGTGACGGTGGATCCCTAGTGCTTGTAGATTGTTCTACTCTCTTTAATTAAATTTATTTTTATTAAATTAGATCATAAAATCAATCATTCCAAATCTTTGTTTTACAATAATTAACTGAAATTTGGTTTGGTGCAAATTATTTAATGCTCCTTGTGGAGAACGACCTTGCTAGAACCATTTATACTACAATATCTTTGTCATTCTTACAAGTATTATAGGTGTTCTTAACCCTTTTGCGGTGTGGTAAAAATCCTATCACCATTGTTGAATGTTTTGTTGTTCTCCTTTGGAAAAGCACTTGAATTGCGCAGAAAGCGATTTGATATAGTCGTAAAGTAAAAATAAACATGTTTAATGCTTAAATATGTCAAATTCGTTGTCTACAAATACCATCTTGAAGCTAGTTAAAGAAGCAAAAGCCATTCTAAAGTAGACATCTTTCATTTTTCTTGTCATCCATCCAATTTCAAACGTTCACAAAAGAAGTCTTGGTAAATTAGCGCGACAAAATCTCTTTTTCTCAAGCGTATCGTGGGCTAATAATTAATAAGCCCGAACGAGTCTCAGTTGCTATTGCAATGACATAGAAAGCCTGTAAAGCCTCTATTTACCGATATCACATTATCTTCCTGCTGATTAGCCGAAATCTCTTGTTTAGCATACAGGTAGAGAGTTTGTAAGGGCCGTCGCCCTGAGGTCAAATTGTGTGGCAAGTGTACCTGTTACCTCGGATCTTTTGAATAATTGCTCTACTGGAATTGAACCATAGTGTGTGTTATATTCACAGCTCTGCCTTCGATTCAAGATCCTCCTCCGGACTGCCGGTCACTGATTTCTCTGATTCATTAGGAAGTGGTGCAGGCTCTTGGATGTCCAGTTCGTCACCTAAGATCTTTGCAGTGAATTGCCTTGCCTCCAAATCAAGATCTGGCCATTCAGAAACTATTCTTCTAGCGCCCTGCAAGACTCGACGATATTCAGGAAAAACAATGATATAATATGGTCTAGGTGCGAGCCCACTGCTCAGTAAGTGAAAAATCACAAACCGAAGGAACACATATCTACCTGAAGCTTGGGTTCCTTCGTCATGGGGTTGTTGCAAAGATCAATGGTTTTTGCCTTGGATTTTGTTGCATTACCGCACCATGACTCGCACCACAGCCATTCTTGCGGTAATGAAAAGATGGGTACTGTATGTTGAGCATAGTTTGGAAGATCCTGAAATATGAATGATGGCATTTAGCATAATGAATGAAAACAAAACGGAAATATGAATCTACAACAAGCCTCCAAATGATGTTTTCCCGATGTCAGTTTGTTGATTTTTCATTTTTATCTCCTCGAGAGAGAGAGAGAGAGAAGATCTCGCTGATAGTGCAAAAGGGAACAAGTGAAATAAAAATATTCCATTGGTGTTTTTACACAATGATCGGGGTTGTGTTTGTAAATTATTTTCACTCGATGGCAGCAAGCATGGATCCATTTTCGTTGTTTGCATGTATAGATAAGATTAAGACAAATTCATAAGAAGAATTTCAGTTGTAATTTCTTTTAGTTTATGCCCCAGTGAAATACTTAAGATTAAAGCAATTGTTTGCCTATATCCTTATGATAGTAAAGCCTTAGGAAATAATGACAAACCAATCAAATTTCCCTCCTAATTAATCAAATGTTTCACATGTTGGGCCCCAGTTGTTAGGGTACTGTTAGAAACGTGTCCTAAAAGATCAATTTATAGTGCCTTAAAATGCAATGAAAATCAGAAATCATTCAGACAGACATCTGAACACTAATTCTGGCTTCACTTGCATCAAAACTGGAAGAGTAATATGAGATAGTGCAATCAAAACTGCGAATCATGAAACGTAACCACTTGCCTGGTCTAAATTAGATAGACTGTTTGGGTCCTTGCTAAGAGTCTCATAGAAAACTCTCAGATTATCTCCTGCTGCAGTCTCTCGAAATTTCTTCAAATCGACAACATATAAAGCACTGCACAAAATCAACACGTCAACTCCTGCGGTTTTTCTTTATTGTTTTGTTTGTAAATTATTTTTTTTTTCTTAAATCCTGAAAGTTTTAAGCTTTAGAAACCATGGTTAACTAATATAAGTTTATCATGGTATCTGATTTAGAAGAATATATTGTCAGTTCGATTCCCTATACTCACAAATTTTCAATATAAGTTGAATTCAACACATTGATCCTTCTAAGGGTAGGGAGAAGTCCGGTAGTGAAGGATATTTATCAAACCATCTAATAATGGCTATGTACTACAAATAAATTTACTAAAGTACGTAGTTACCTTATGAACCAAGTCAACAAAAGTACGTAGTTACCTTATGTGGTAAGATCTCCCACGTAAATGTTCTTTCCAAAAACCCTGTTCCAGAAAAATGACAACATGTGAGCAATCAATAATGAATTAAGAAATTATTCCTTAAGACTTAAAGAATTAAAAAGAAATATGATTTAAGAAATTATTCCTTCAGACTTCTAATAGACATGGATCTAAAAAATGGTAACAAGTACGGTTGCTGGATGCATAAGAAGAATAGAAAG